GTTTATACAGTAGGGATTACTTGCGAGCGATTGTCGTATTTCTACTTTTTTTAGCAAAATATCTGAAAACAAGGAAAATCTATGACCCATTGTTCAGCTTCCGGGGCTTGACTACCGTTCGTGATTCGATCCTTTTTAGTCATTATGCCATAGAGATAATAACATTCTTCCTTGAATCATGTACACCACTGCACAGATGTTCACTGGAAGAGTGGAATATAATCAAATTTGACTGCACTGACGATCCGAGGAAGAATTTTAACAATGAAAGTTTGCATTAAGTACAACCAGTAACCATGAGATTAGACACTTCAGTTTTTATAGTTATTCTTGGGTGGTCAGTGGCGATGCATTGAGATAGTAAATGAGAAAATCAAATGGTATCGGCAGTGAAAATGTGGATAGCATGAGAATACCAAATAAGGGGGATAAAAGTGTGCCATATCAGTCTGGTATCTTCAGGTTCGGTGGATTCGAGGCCTGAAATGATCTATGGGACTAATTTCACATTTTATTGCAGGTTACGGTTGGACCAAGATAAAAATGATCTTCCGGCTATAAATTATCCCGATTAACAGAACAAACTGGGGCAATCGATCCGGTTATCGTACTCTCTAGTAAGTGCACGATGGTGCTTATATTTTGCTTATCACTTAATTTCGGTATTGCTAGTCACGCCTGTTGACCAGAATGCCACTTAAACAGCAAGACCCAAATAACGATACCCTGAATGTGGTGTCGAACCGCGGCAGCAAACACTACCAATCACGGTAAATTATAACTTCTCCATCAAATGAAATATTATATTGAACAACCATATTTCCATAACCCCATTTTTATACATGCACAGTTGTAATTAATAAAAATAGTAATGACGGACGTGATTGGTTCAGTAAGTTCGTGGGGATTGAACGCGTTACCTGTCCATTTTGATCGTGCGAACCAGAAGTGTTGGAATGGATGACCACACTGCTATTTTTAGAAACTTTCGTTGATTCGTTTCATGCGTAATCTGGCGTGAGAAATGACCGCGATCAAGTCTTGGTCCGTTAGTTGTCTCTGTACCAGGCCAGGGAAACAGAAGCGCGGGAACAACTTACCCTTTTTATGCGCTTAAGGATAGGTTCGCGATTTTGACCGTTGCTTTCAAACGCGGTTAGCATATGGATTTTAACTTTTGTCCTGACACGCTGCAGGTTACTATAAGTGGGCCAGTACCTGTTAGTACGAACGTCACAATCCCACTAATGAGTACTTCATTATGATTAAGAGGTAGACCGGTATCTTGTCGTCAAGGTTTCTACCTAGTACATATCACATCTTGTCAACTTTCGCCTTTGGAGTGGATCGAATGGAAAGATACACCATTCAACCTCCCAAAATTATGGGTTTAAAGGCTCATAAATCCATCCTCAAAGCTCTTTCGCGATGGAATTTACATGAAACCTGATACGATATTTCATATACAGAACTCAAATTATCTTCTTTTCGAGCTCATTTGAGCTGGAGACCTTCACATTTCTTTAAAGATTGTGTGTTCAGTTCTAATCACCATCGTTTAACTTTCCCAAATCAGCCCTTTGATCAACATGTTACTTCTTCTTGAAAATATGATCATACATTTTCTCGTCCAATAATAAAGAATGAAAGACTGTTGAGATATACGTGCCAAAAAGCTATCCGAACAGCAAATCCATCACCGCCAGAAAGAGCATTTTATGTAAAAGTTTTTTTAAGAAGATCCGAGAGAGGGTAAAAGCTGGATCACTAAATAGGGCCATTCCGTCCGTTCAGCACAGTGTGATTGCACTCAATCAAAACTTATGCAGCAAGCTAAACTAAATGGACTAAGAGATAAGGTTTGTTTAACGTTTGGCAGTAACCGTAATCCCTTTTTTACTCTTCCCCGCTTTATTGTCCTGGTTGAAAAACCAATTCACCGGAAGGATTTAAAGAACAAATGCGAACGGCTGTTTCAAAACCATTAGTCAATATTTCTGGAGTAATTCCAGATGCTATGCTTTCTCCACACTTATCTTCAACGCTCATTAGTGACTTACCCTCTATCCCGCTAGCCAAGACCTTTAAGTATGCTGATGATGTGATCTTACGTCAAACCAATCTGGCATGGAATTACTTTATGACAGTTCAGTACAAGTAATTAGTCGCAAGTCAATCCGGTTTCCGGTTGAATGCTTTTAAATGCTTCAAATGCGTTTTTACTCTTTCCAGATCCCAGTACCCTTTGGAACCCTCATCATCAGAACAGACGCATACCAAATGCAGAGGAGTCACCAAAGAGAGCAATCTATGGTGGTTCTCTCATGTGCTAATCTGTGTTAATAGACTGTGTCACTTAGCCTTCCGGATACGCAAGCTTTGACAATTTAGAGCGAAGTATGCAACTGTTTGTTCTTTTGTTTACCAGAGCATTGTTCATACTTCATTAGTCGACCGTT